TCCAAGATGTATTCAAAACCAGGAAAACGTAGAGCTCTCTTCTCTTTTAACAAGGTCAAGCGAAAAAGATCAGAACCATCATGCCCAGTAGCAGTGGTTCCTCTCTCTCTCTCTCTCTCTCTCTCTCTCTCTCTCTCTCTCTCTCTTTGTGTATGTGTTTTTTCAAAGACCTCATTAACATTTTAAGGCAACCATGCCAATTCCAAAGCAAAATAATGTGCTCTCCAAAAGAACTTTTCTCCAATTTCAAAAAGCTGTGGGGGTGGGTAGGTGGGGGGGGGAGAGAGAGCAAAGCAGAGAGGAAGGGACAAACCAAGTTGTCCAAGCAGCTGCTGGCCATCATCCAAAGACTTTGCTTTTCCGGAAATCCGGAATTGCAACATCGTTCTCTCCAGTTCTGGTGCCAAAAGGGGATGTGAGCGGAACGCAGTTGGCATCTTTCCTTTCAATCCTAGAAGAAAGTTTTTTTAAAAAAGTAAATATTGCAAGGGAGTCAAGCCTGCAAAAGCCTGTGGGAAGCAAGGAGAATTCAAGTGCTCAATAGCTTCTAGGTGGGAGGGGAGGAGGAAGGAGGCGACAAGAGGCGGCAGGAACACCCAGCCATCTTTTTAAAAGGCTAATAATAACAAGACCAAAACAAACGTTCCCTTTTTCCATCCAGTTTAATCCTTTGCTGCACAGAAGCACGGCATGACTCTGGTCGCCTACCCACGCTACCCACTTCTAAGAACATTTCCCTTAAGAGTTATCTCGAAGGAAGCCAACGGGTTTTTCCTCCTTTTGTTTGCGACAACCGACTTCTGCTCAGTGACAAAATTAAACAAGCCAGCTTGCTCAGAGAGAACGAAGTGTTCCTAACACAGCATTTACCAACCCACTCTATATCCTTCAGGGGAAGGTCTGCACAAAGACAAAGGATTTTGGATTCGAAGGCAATGCGTTGCAAGGGGAGGAGGGCACTTCCCGCCTTGAACCGACCAGTTAGAAATACAGTGGTACCCCGCACAGTGATGATAATCCGTTCCGAAAAATTGTCGCTATGTGGATTCGTCGCTATGCGGGGGGGAAGCCCATAAGAAGGCATTAAAACACTTTAAATGTGTTCTTATGGGCACAAAACTCACCGCTATGCGGAAATCCTCCATGCGGTCGCCATTTTCGCTGCCCGGTAAGCGAGGAATCCAGGCAGAAACACAGTGGGTGGCCATTTTCTTTACCTGGTGGCCATTTTGGAACCGCCGATCAGCTGTTAAAAAACCATCGCAATGCGAAAATCGCAATGCGATGTTTTAGCATTAAAAACATTGCAATGCGATTGCATTAGCAATTGCAAAAACAACGTTGCTATGCGGATTCGTCGTTAAACGGTGCGCTCGTTAAGCGAGGCACCACTGTACAAAGAAGAACCTGCAAGCCGCCTAGAGTGGTCGAAATGACTAGATAGGCGGGGTATAAATACAATAAATTCTGAGCAGATAGGCGGGGTATAAATTAAATAAATAAATAAATAAATAAATAAAATAAAGCCTGCAGAGCACCCAATCTCACCAGATCTGGGGAGCTACGTGCAAGAGGTCTTGATGAATCTCAAGGAAACCGCCAGGGAATAACAGCCCCTGGATTGGGAAGGACTATAATTCAACGGCAGGACACCTAATGCAGAAGGTTGCCAGTTCAATCCCTAGCATCGCCCGGTAGGGCTAGGAAAGGATTCCCATTGCTGACCATCAGAACTGATGCTGCTGCTCTACATCACTGATTCCCAACCTTGGGTCTCCCCAGATGTTCCTGGACTAAAACCCCCAGAAGTCTTCTCCACCTGTCGTGCTGGCCAGGATTTCTGGGAGTTGCAGTTCAGGAACATCTGGGCACCTAAGGTTGGGAACCATTGGCCTGACTGACAACAGCACACCTTCCCACAATCCTATATACAGTATTTTGACAGTGATGTAGCAGAAACCAAGCTTACAGGATTGACGTCCCGGGATCTTCTGAGTAGTAAAGGCCATGACAACTTCTGCCATCCCCACGCTTCAGCTTCTCTGTTCCCTTTTTGCTTACCTAGCGTCCCCACCATAGTTTGAGAAAAATATTGTCTGCAAGCTACCAATACTATAATGCAAATTGGCTCCAGGTAGCTAGGTCTCTAGTTGATAATTAAGAGCGATTACCTTTACAATAGAGTTGCTCCTCAAATGCTGTTATGGATAAATCCAGCTGACAGAAATTTCCTGATCACCCATCTGCTTTTTACCAACACAGATGAAGCTCTAAAGGTAAAAGCTCAACGGATTTTTACACCATTTAATTCTACAGACAAACGCAGCCCTTGCACGCCATTCCTCTCCAGGATCCAGGGTTGCAGGTATAAGATCTCTACACCTGGAGGCTCTACTTTGCTATCAGAGTTTATCCTTCCATAAACCATGCTACAGGAGTGGGGGTGGCGCATCATGTTTCTGTTTCATCATAAGGACTGGAATGTGCAATACCACAAGCCACTTCCTTGTAACAACAGAAGTCATGCAGCTGGCACTGTAAGAATGTTCCATTCATCCCACTGGACAAAAATATGTAACTGAAAAGGAAGGGCTTCTAGTTAATTGCTGTCCCAAAGACCGAGCATATGCTTTCAGCCCTCACCCCATTTGTATCCTCCTTTTCTGCTGTGCTCCTGTTATGTTCCTTGTTCCTTCTCTGATAATGTTCTCCAACAACAAAACTGAGCAAACAGGAAGCTTCCTTTTAAACAATTGAACATTTATACTTTCCTTGCTTTCCTTTCTGGAAAGGCAGTGTTTTCTGTGTTTCAAAGCACTCTGCTGGCCCAAGAACAGAGTTTTTTTCCCCTTTCTGCAGTCCAGAGTCATTTGGACACCTTTAGTCCTTTCCAATACTACAGGTCTTTAAGGTTTGTTCTGCTTCTAAGGTTTCTAGTCCTCAAGGATGCAAATAAATATTCTGTGAGGTTTTCCTCAAAACTTTGGAAACACTGCTATTTTCCTACAAAGAACTGCCCCTTTCAATGCTACTGCTGTTGTACAGTTACAACACATCTCCCTTTCTGATCAGGATCACTAGAGCACCTTCTTCGTCTTCCATGAAGACGGCTTGCCAAACAGAGCAGGCATGACTCCGCCCCTTCTGTGCAAGGCTCCTCCTCCTCCTCCATGCACCACAGCGGTCGTTCCCTGCCCCCTTGGTGCTGGCCATGATGGAACCCCATGCGAGGGGCGGAGTTACATACATGAGGGGAGGACCCCTGCCAAATGGGGCTGAAAATTAGAGGGAAAGTTGTCCACTACCCAAACAACATACTTGTTTCCCTTAGTTCCTTCTCCAACAACAACAACAACAACAACATACACACCAGGTAAGCTCAACCTAATAGTTTTGTTTTCTTTTGAGCCAAGGAAGACAGTCTCTTGACATCTGGAGGAACAAGACTGGAAACAGTAGTGAAAAGCATCATCTCGCCATAATTTCACCCATCCAAATGGCTATAAGCGGTTGGGCAAAAAACAAACCACCAAGTGTGCTCAAAATGCACCACCCATGATATTTACCTAAGAAATGTCTACTTCTGTAAATGCTTAGATGGGCAAGTGAAAAATGATTTTGTAGTACAAAACACCGGGGGGAAGCGGGGAGAAGGATTACAATTCAAAAGCAAACACCGAGCCATTTCTAAGAGGAAAATCCTACCCTTTTTTTTCTTTCTACTTCCAATTTCATAGCTACAACAGTTTTTTTTTTAAAGTTTCCTAACTATTCAGCTGTGACATCTATTTGGCTTGACAATGTTTCTTTCCCATCTATGGATGCAGCACAGAAAGCCAATTTCAAGGATAAGTCACAGACTGATCGAAGTGATGCCAGACATCCCTGCTCACCAGTGATGTTCTCCCCACAAAATTTCCCTAGTTTTCCAACATTCACATGTTTCACAAACACTCCTCCCCTTCAATCATGCTTATCTAGTGAAGGACAGTTTATGCATCCAGGAAAGGGGAACTGTTTACCTGGACTAGAGCACTTTTAAGGAAGCCGGTGAGAGAAAGTGAGGGAAGCACAGCACAATAACAAAACCACTTCCCAAACAGAGCAAAATAGCGTTCAGATAAAGAGAGGGTTGGGTTCCCTTGTCCCCACCCACCTTGCTATACTTTCTTTGGAACATTTCAACCTACTATTCATCATCTGCAGCCGAAAGTGGTATCAGATTATGATACCAAAGGCACATGACCGATTCACAGTTACGACCAAAGGTAGAATTATCAGTGCAATGAACAAATACAAGACTTACTTCTGACCTTCCCCAGAATTTCAGTTTCAACAAAGAGAGCAAATAACCATAGACTTCTCTGTAGTCAAGGCCGTCTTTGCCTTAATCAGTAATAGTTTTACATTAAGCCTTTCTGTAGTCAAGAGCTTCCATCAATCCTGTGTCCTCCACTGCCCTTTGTGCCCAGGTAACATGGCCCTAGGTGACGTAGCCAAACACGTCCAGATGACCTTGAGTTGGGCAAGACTGATACGCATGTTCTAAATCAGCAACAGGAATCTATGGTTACTTCTAGAGTGTGGTCTCAGTGTGCCCCATGGACCGTGTGGAGCCTCAAGAGGTCCAAACGCCCATTCCAACTCCCGCCACAAACCCAAACATTTTTATTCCTCAAAAAGGTTCCTTGTGACCTCCAAGAACATCGAGAGGGAACACTGCCACGTTCTGGGCAGCCTCCAGAACCTGCCTCCCCACCCAACCAAAAAAAATGTTTCAACTTCTTTTTAAACTGGCAACGAGAGGGCATGAGGTTTTAAAATTAAAATATATTTAATATATTTTTGAGGAGGGAGGAATGAGGCCAGGAGCATTCCTCTAATCTCCAAAAGTGTTCACATGCAGCCCCCTAAACATTTGCTCCTTGTCTGCCTGTAAGAAGCAACTTTAAAAAAACAACAAGCCACATTGGAAGAGAATTTTAACCTGCAATTCTTACTTTTCTGGCAGTGGTTGGATGTCCAGCAGCGGTAGCTGTATTCATTGTTAATGGAGGTCTTCTCACATAGGGGTTTTTCCTCTGCTGTTCCAGGACACAAGTCCCCACATTCTTTTGGCGGTTTATTCCCTATAATGTAGTTGTTAGAGACGGCATCCAAGATCAGAGACCAGTCCACCGTGGAGAGGTAACACAAGTCAGAATTCTTCTCAATCCGGATGGCTCCCCGAGTGATGTTCCTCAAGTTGTACAGCCCAATTTCTTTGAGGTTGGTCATCTCGAAGATGACCAACGCGTAGTTGTAGAAGAGGTTCTTGCCACGGATCACGGTGAGGTTCGGGAAGAGGTCGCTCAGGGTCTCCAGGCCTGCCACGCGGAACAGCAGCAAGTAATCTGTGATCATCGTGAGTTGCGGGAAGCGAAAGCCACTGAAGTCCTCTCCTTGGGGGATCAACAAAATTCGGAGAAATCCGTCAACTACCGTGCAGTTCTCCAGCTGCCTCAGCTCACTCACACTGTTGCGAATGTCGATATTTGGCCCACAAACTGGATAAGGATATTAGGAACGGGGAGAGAGGGAAAAAAAACAGACAAGAAAATATGAGTTAAGATGCTCCCGTTATTTATTGCTGAGTAAATAATAAAACACAAGCACAAACTTGTTCTCTTTCCACATCCTAAATCTCATGCATTAGGATGGGAGATTTTAGTGCTCAAGATTAGAGTCGAGGATGAACCACCGGTTCGGAGGCTCGGCACAGTTCACTTGCGGGCCCCACAGATGTTTTGCAGTTTGCCCCCTCCAGCAGCCGCCCACTCAGAGACAGCGCCCAGAGGAGGCAGGGCAGGGAAGCCGGGGCGCTGCCTCTGAGTGGAAATCCACCGAACTACAGAAAACCATGCCATACCACCAATTCATGCTCATCTCTACTATATTTTCTTGTAGAACTACTGTACAATGCAGGCGCTCTGTAGCACTGTCACATCAACAGCTGCAAACAATATCCCCAAGTTTCAGATACCCATTAACAGGTGCTTTTTTAAAACTAACATTAGAAAGTCACAACAAAGTGGCCTTCTGCCTTTTGCTGTTGCTGCTGATGCTGCTAATGCTAGTAGTATCTTGTGAAAGAAAATTTTTATGTGTTGGGGGGCGGTTGGGAAAGAGATATCAAATGGTGCACAACCAGTACATGGGACTCACCAGGCTGGAGGAAGTGCAGCGCCCATTGCAATCAGAAAATATGAGGAAAATACCATGATACTTTAAACTGAAGCACAACTATTATCCCTAACACTTACCCTCAGAACATACTGGAATTTTCCCTGGAGTCAGAAAATACCCATAACTTATTCCAACCTGGGAAACCTTAACAAAGGCTAAAGGGAACAGTTTCTCTATAATAATACTGCTAGAACATTATGCATTCCAATCAAAAATATTTGGAATGCTTCTTCTATTCCAACAAACCCATGGCCAGTGGTTAAACTGCAATGCTGCAGTTAAGACTCTGCTCACAACCTGAGTTCAATCCCGGCAGGCTCAGGTAGCCAGCTCAAGGTTGACTCAACCTTCCATCCTTCCGAGGCCAGTAAAACAAGCAGCCAGCCATCTGGCAGGCAACGTGTTTCAGGACATTGAGCAGCATTTAATTAGTTAGCATATTCCTCATTCACAGAAGAGTGAAAGGACATGAAAAGTGCAGTAGTGATGTTGGGAGTAAGCACACATACAAAAAAATAATAATAACTCTATTAATAATGGAAAACTGTAGCAAGTACTACTGAGTACACATTTCACTGCTCCGTAGGAGACACAATGCTACGCTCACAGGAGGGTGCTCAAACTTTCAAAAGTGAATTCTTAGCAAGTATTATCAGAACCTTGGCTTGTATCCTATCCCTCTTCACAAAGCAAAACAGCAGTTCAGTGGACCGGGCGTTCCACCCAAATCCTGCCGATTTCCAGCTCGCAGTTATACAAGCTGGAATTCACTCTGTCGCTTCAACCAGCCTTTCTGTTCACACGAGGATTTCCAGGGTTTCCCCCTTGCGTGAGCAACGCACAAGAAAGAGCCCTTCGTAAAAACGGCCCCACTGTGCCTCTGTAGGCAGCAGGATACGTGCCATTTTGCCTCACCCAGACCACCTCAGCATCAGAACCACTGCCCTAGATACACACACAGGAGACAGGCAACAGATATATGAGCTTCCAATGCCAAAAAAAAAAAAAACACTTAAAAACCCTGAGCTTTTTACACACCAGCATATCAGGGTGGATAAAACTCACTGGGTTTTTTGAAGTCAAATTGATTGAAATCACAATTTAATTAAAAAAATTAACTGTTAAAAAATCTGATTTTTTAAATTTAAATTGTGATTAAGATCGATTTAAATAAAGCACACCCTGCAGCTTAACTTATAATATAGCACAATAGCGAGCAACCTATATTTTCTATATGTTATTGGACTACAACTCCCATGAGCACCACCCAGCATGACCAGTGATCTGGAATAACTGTTGCTGGAATCCAGCAAAATCTGGAACACTGCATTTACTCACCCGTAACCTACGATATCACAATGTTGGCATAATGAGAAAGAAAACCTGGGTTCACAACTGTTGATGTTTCAAAAGCAGGGTTTTGTAAAGTTAGGCATTTTTGCAATTAATCATGCTTTAGGTTTAATTTCTATGCAAACCTATATTTCTCCTTTTGTCCCGGCTTCTGTTTCTTCTAGAAAATTCATCCATTCAACTATAGCTAATGACTGCAGAACACGTCACTTCTTATTTTTGTTCATTTTGCCCTGAAATTAATGTATTAAAGAGACAAACTAATCCCAGTTCAAAGAATTCTACAGTTTCTTTTTGGCTGCTGTGTGTTTTCTTTGGATGGTATTTTATGCAAACATTCACATACAGAAAGATGTGTGTGTACTGCAATGTGACTTCCAAGTTTTTTTTAAAAAAAGGAAACACAACGCTTGTCATTCACCACTTCACGCAACCACTCCGTAGTTTCCTCCTCAGTACTACGCAATTCAGAGAATTTATATAACTATGCTTAATGGTGTCAAGCAACACAACCTCTTTTTCACACTTATTGGCCTCAACTAATGCAGCGCTACGGCACTCAATGAACGAAAGGTAGAACTTTAAAAAGGTGCTTTCAAACTCTTTAAACTCTGACACACGGATTAACAGCTCGGATTGATGCGTTTCCTGTATCTGGTTCAACTCAAAAGGTGTCCAAAAGGAAGATGTTTTGGCATGTCAAGAGTGCAATACAGATGCCAGGTCAAGGCAGCAAAAGGATACGGATATCCTGAATAATTAACCTTTTTTAAAAACATGGGCACAGAATCCCAAGCAGGTCAGACACCACCGCCAACAGCTCAAATCTGAGAACCATTTACAGTCGCAACCTGTCGCATCCAGTTCATGATCCTTACATTCCATCTGCGACCACCTTCTCAACTGTCCCCATCTTCACACATCAAAGTATATTTTTAAGTTTTTCCATATTCAAATAGATGTCCCCCTTTGGGGTTCTGCAGAGCACTGAACATACACATATCAGATGTGGTTTATGCTTTTTTAAATCCAGAAAACGGTTTGGTGGACAAAAACAGAACAAAGGGGTACTATTTAAACTGCATGATAATGGCAGGAATCCTGTGGCATAGCTAGCCATGTAGGTGCAATGGCATGAATGACAGTTACGAACTGCAGCTAGTCAAGGAGTCACCATCAGTATCCCTTATCACATGACAGCATTGGAGCACGATGGCGCAACTCTTTGTTGAGATTTTCACCCTTCCACCCACACTGGGGTGCATAAGCAGCAAGTTTGTGGTCATTGTTGGTGATAACGGGCATATTGTTATTACTCCAAATATCTGGGAAAGACCAAGGATCTAAACCCAGCAGAAGAGAACTCCACTACTTATAACTAAAATTACTATTTTAGTTACTATTTGTAACTAAAATTACAAATTTTAGGTGTAATTGGTTGGCTGATTCATCAGACAAATTCCATTTTCTATCAGGAAAATAAAACACTGGAAGAGAATGCTAATAAGCTGATGAAACCCACCCCCCAGGAACTTATACTGGATTATGTAGGCTGAAGCCACACGTTTAAAAAAATAAGACATAAGAGTTTATCAAGACTTGCCTCTAAAAACTATAAAGAGATTTTTCATCCACAACGATAGCTATTTCTTGCAAATTAGAAGATTCAATTTTTAAAGACTAATAACTGCATTTAAACAAACAGGAGCTTACCGACAATGTAAAATGGCATTCTAAATTGGTATGGATGGTGCTTCTTAGTGCAACATGGCTTAGCCTTTGAGCCACACAAACAAAACTACTCCAATTCCATTCTAGCCCAGTGGTTCTTAACCTTTGTTACTCGGATGTTTTTGAACTGCAACTCCCAGAAACCCCAGCCAGCACAGTTGGTGGTGAAGGCTTCTGGGAGTTGCAGTCCAAAACTCCTGAGTAACGCCTATTACAAACCTACGCTTTGTAACTAAACACCAAGATGTCTTTTACAGAGACCAACCATTGGTCTGCCTAAGAGTCAAGACCAGAGGTGGGTGAAGTATGGTTCTCCAGATGTTACTGGGCTGCACCTTCAGCATTCCTCACCACTGGTTATGCCACTGAGACCTGTTGGGTGTTTGCAGCAATTTGCCCGCTTTACCCACCCGGAGCTACAAGGACATGGAGAAACTCTCCGAGATTTCAGAAGAGGGTTTTGCCAGATGCCAAGCCTAAATCTTACATTTTCTGCAACGTTACACTTTCTGCATATGAAGCGCGGTGTATTAATTTCATAGGACTGAGATGGAAAAATGAGGTGGAAGGGACATAACAGTGGCTCAGTTCATTCAGGAACAAGAGGAAAACTCCGCTCCTCCTCCTCCTCCTCCAGCACAATTCTTTATGAACAACACAGACGCAATTGCACAAACACACCATTCCGCTCCTGCTCAAGGAAAACAGATTAACTCTGCTTAACCATCTGTGATAATGGTTCAGTAGAACAAACTGACCACAACATTTTACTAAGGTAGCTTGTTAATAGATGAACTTTATAAAATTATTAACAGGGGTTCTTGCTACACATTCAAGGGTGTGGAATTAAGCTGTGTTTTCGTTGACATGTTAAGTTTTAGCTTGTTCAGGTAGAACCACCAGGTTAAGCATTAGCTAGTTTGGATTCGATCAGCCGTGAGAAAACAACCTGCTGTTAGCAGCTAGTCCGTCCTCATCTTTGCGCTGAACGCAAAGTCCCAAGGTGCTGTCTGAGGAAACGGTGGATGCCCGACGAAAAGAAAAGGAAGGAAAATGCTGGAGAATAATCAGATGGTTTCTAAAATGTGCCTTTCTCCTAGGATAAGATAAGGAGGAATTTCAGAATTTATTTTCTCAAGGAAAAAAAATAAAACCTGCTAAGGAATTTCGGCTCAATGGCAGTCTTTATGGGGGCGACCATGAAGAATATTTCTCCCCATCTAAAGACTGACACTCT